GGAATTAATTTAATCAGCAGGAATGAGATTGGAGTTTAAAAGAGTCGAAGAACCATTTGTTTTTGAAGTAGAAAACGAGCAGGGGGCGACATGTAGAATTGATGCGAGCGAACAAATCGGAGGAAAGAATAAAGGCTTGAGACCAATGGAGTTGTTGGCAAGTTCATTGGCAGGATGTGCAGCAATCGATATTTTGGCAATTCTGGAAAAGCAACATTCCGAGCAATTCAACATTCAGATTGAAGGAAAGCGAAGTTCTGAGCCGCCGTCTGTGTTTGAGTGGATTCATCTTGATATTCAGGTAGATGAGCACATCAATAAAGAACGATTGAAAAAAACAGTAGATCTCGTTCTGGAGAAATACTGTTCCGTAGCAGCATCTCTCAATCGAAGCATTCATTTAAAATATTCCATTAACGCCTTAACAGCAGAAGCATGAAATCACTGGAAACTATTGCCATTAGAACACAAACTGAACGCTCAGAAAATAATGAGCATTCAGCACCGATTTATTTAACAAGTAGTTATGTTTTCGAGGATGCGGAAGACATGCGCAGTCAGTTTGCGGAAGAAAAGGAAGGGCACATCTATTCGCGATATGCGAACCCAAACACGGACGAGTTCATCGAAAAGTTAGCACGAATGGAAGGTGCTGAAACGGGATGGGCTACGGCAACTGGAATGGCTGCAGTTTTTACTTGTTTTGCCTCGCTGTTGGAGTCAGGTGATCATATTGTGTCGGCAAGATCGGTTTTCGGTTCAACACATAAGCTCTTTACCGAGATTCTTCCGAAATGGGGAATTTCAACGACGTATGTGGATATCGACGATGAAGCTGGATTCGAATCAAATATTAAAGAATCGACAAAAATCGTTTACCTCGAAACACCAAGTAATCCAGCATTGGATATTGTGGATTTAGAGGTAATCGCAGAGATATGTAAACGCAAAAATGTATTGTTTGTCGTGGATAACTGTTTCGCAACACCAGTGATTCAACAACCGATTCGTTGGGGGGCGGAT